ATTACAAGTTTGTCTTTAATCAAGCCCAAGGCTCAAAGTCGTGTCAGTTAGTAATTCAGAGCGGCCTGAGAACAAAGAGAGAAGTGTCTGTAAACAGATGTATTCATCTCTAGTGATCCGAGCGGTAGTTGTCCTGAAAAAAGCTTGTTTTCGTTGAAAATTATGGACGAAAATTGGTTGAGTTGAGGCACGCTTTTAAGATACTTATAGAACTTACTGGAACACGTAACAATGTGCTGCAGAAGTTGTAACAAAGCGACATGAGGTCTGAATCTGGATAAAAGATGCAGCACCCCAAGTAGACAGATGGGGAAGGGCTGGGTGTCGGTAGTGTTTTGAACAAGGCATAAACCTGGTGGGTAAGTTTAATTGAACAACCGACTTTTCTGAGTGGGTGATTGATATTACAAAAGATCGAGAGCTGGGAGAGAAATTTAGGCACACAATATTCCAGATGTGAGAGGTAGGAAATCTAAGGCGATTATTAAATGTTATGGAGTGTTGTTGGTTCCGAAACCTTGTATCTCTGAAAAGTCCAAAGGCTCTGCGCAGACGTGTCGTTACATTCACTAGAAATTTGGAAGTTGCAAACCATTCAATTGAATTTGCTTCGTTAAAAATTAATTGCCAGTAAATAATTAAAAATGAAAGAAGACTGCCCGAAAATGCTCCCCATTTTCCCCAAAGATTCTTAGTTATTTTCGTCGTTTCCCAGCCATGGAACCATCTATACAGTCTGATGGGTTCTTTGTAAGTTGCCCATCCAACCTACTGTACACAAAGGACGGCTAGACCAGTTACCAGGGTTGATGTAAATCGCACCTACGTAAATCTTCTAAAAGCTTCTGCACAGAAATAACGCAGAACTTTGTCCAGAAAACCAAAAAACCAGACATACGTGGTACATGATTTCTTCCTGAAAATTTGTAAAAGTAAACATAACTAAGAAAATGTAACCAACTCGCTGGCTTTTTGTAACCTCCAGTGGTAAAAGATAAGTCTCATCTGTAAACTTCTTTCTGTGTACTGCCAACGTTTGCTTTCAGTTCCCCTACCGAATTTCGTTATGCTGTTTATGGACGGCATGAATCATCAGATTTCGATATGATCCTTCAAAAAGCGCAGCCCAGATGACCGTTCTTTTTGTCCTATTGTATGCATCTGCACAATAGCCCGCTGCTTACTAGAAGGATCCACCATCATCTCTCGCCACACTTCTCCACGACATCCTGTCTTTGCTAGGATAGAAGTAATTAGGCGCCCAGGGAGCACTTGTTTAGTATACCTTAAAGGGTTCTTTGACAAAAATAGGAGACAACGCAATCGGTATATCCCTAGAGCTCATTTACTTGGCTCCAGCCTTCCTTAGGCACAAAGCTCAGTTTAGGCGAGATTGCAGGTTCTTCTGGATATTTAGGCAACAGTGTACCGAACCATAACTGAACTGAAAATCTCCCATAGCTCTAATGATTGGAAGCACCATACCATGCGCAATACTACCGTCGAACGAAAGGGAGCCATACAGTCCGGGGACATCAATTTGCAGCTATGGATGGGTGGTTACGAGTCACTAGGCACCAAAGTAATCACCTCAACTGAGCAGTTTTTAAAAAGTGTACATTCTCAAGCGTCATTTGAAGTTTTTCTGAACGTTGACTGAATATTAAAAAAATACTAATAAAAAAAAAAAACTGCGGAGGGGTTCCATAAGTTTCGTACAAACCTTCACAGTCCATCAGATGCGGTAACGGTGACACCCGACCTGTGATCGCATGCTTGAAAAAAAACTGCGGAGGGGTTCCATAAGTTTCGTACAAACCTTCACAGTCCATCAGATGCGGTAACGGTGACACCCGACCTGAAGATGATCGCATGGTTCATCAGTAGTATATACCGTTACATTATTGTCTTATATATGCTTCAAGAACATGGTCATCTATGATGGACAGTACTAGCTTGTATTAGGTCAAAAAAACTACGTGTGTCAGGGATACAATCCTGTCGACTGCTCCCTTTCTCCCATACGCTATATATGAAACTCTTCGCCTATAAGAGGATTGCGCGCACAATTCGAACGGTGTTTAAATATTCAAATTGCAGCCCTGTGAACTATACAGCAAATGAATCATCAATGATCTACGATGTTTTGCAATGAAAGCCTCGTATTAAAAGCCCCACATCCACTAATCAATCTGAAGCCAAAGCCGACTGGATTCTTTTGACCTGAACCACGATACGGTTAACAAAAGTGATCCTCCCCGTCATCTTTACTTTCCCGACTATTATGCACAATAGTCCAAATTATGATTCACGCCTTGGAATTTCGTTTCATCGTCATCATCAACAGCATGACATTGGTGTTTAATACCGATGGTTCGCTGCCGTTCCACCCCGACTTAGTTGAAAGCATTGTTGCGAAAAGAAGAAGGATGTTGTTGTTTATTTAGGCCTTTCTGCCTTTGCCTGGATCACCGAAAATTTCGTTTCTTTTTGCAAATAAATGTTACAATTAACTACTAGGCCTAATGGTGACTTGAGATCCGAAATGGTGCGCTCCTAACATTTGCCACCTCCGGTGTGTTCTGACTTGCGTTGATTTTCAATACCCTGGGGATGGCGCATCTTTGCAGAAGGCACTTGATCGAAACCCCGAAATTGGTATGCTGCACCCAGAATCTCATCAAACTGCGCCGTCCTCTCCTGGCCACGGTGCAGTCTTAGCACCTTGAAGGCCAGAATTATAATGCTAGGGATATAGGCCTGTCCGAACGGACTCACGCCAATGCGCTAGGTGCTGTAGTTAGCATGTACTTGATGTGCCATCAGCTTGTTAACCAAGTGGTGTTGACTAACTACGGGACAGTCAGTATATTTTCTATGGTTTTAGGTGTACTATTGGCAGTCTTTGACAAGTGTGGATGGACTTAACTCCCCGTAACAAGCACTTTCCACATAGGTTGATTCCTCCTAGAGTTTTTTGAAGAAAATACATTGTTGAAAGGAAATTAGTCATTCAGTATGTCACTAAAAGAAGTTCCCTTGATGACTCTCAAATAAAATTTACTGTGCACGTAAAATTTTGGTGAAATGTTCGTCGATACAGCCATCCAAGGACTGTTGCGATGATGCAGAAAAATGTTTCTGGGGTTAAGGTGCCTAAGGACAACCGAGCGTGAAGATTTAGGGGCACTGGTTGACATGGGGCTTCACAACCGAACCATAATTCCAGTCAGGTCGCTCACCATCTTCCCTAGACTGCAAGGAGATATTGGGATTGCTTGAATTTAAGGGACATTTTTGCTTTTTTCATTTAAAGTGCGGTGATTAATTGAGTTATCTGACACATGCAGAAGTAAACTGCCCGCCATCGAACACAATTATCATGATGCAATTAAGCACGGGAGTCCATCAATGCATTCAGGGCCATTTTGAACAAATTTCCTTCTCTCTCTGTTGACTGATTCATGCTTGTTCTTGGTTGCACCTCCAGTTCCGCGCACGTCGCGCTGTGTGTAGGCGTTTATGGCCAGAAACTAACCCGACGAGTTGATTGACTTCACTTATGCCTCACCGCCTAGCAAGACACCAATGTCTACCGCGTTCGTATTTTGTTCAGACTTAAGGATAAACGGTCTGCCCGAAACCTACTCCAAAGTTGCTGCAAGCTCTTTGAGAGCACAGGACCGGTTCTGTCTTCTTTGGGGCTCGTAAGGTAGGCACCATTCCCGGGATTACGTCAGTCTAATCTTCTACTTGAGCCCATACTGAACGACATTTGCAAACTACACTGATTTACACTAATACGGTTTCAGCGGGAGACTTTGGCTGAACCTCTCGTTTACGATGTTTTCTGCATAAGGCCACATCAAGTTGCAGTGGAACGATATTCAAGATGTCAAAGTACATCCTTCAGAAGAGGCTGCTGTGTGATTGTGTACATTAACATCTCGAAAATCATACCAAACGAAACACGAGGCGGCCTGTTGCCGCCGGAATCAATTGTCAATTGTGATTTGTTCGCAATGTCAAAGGAAATTCAATCAAACACCGATTCATAGCCACAGTTGGTCCGTATGCACAGTTATCGACTACTGATTCTACACACGGGTAAAACACAGATCCTGAAATGGTATTTCCCACCCCCCATCTGGCATGAATTTTCAAGCAATGAGTCTGGGAAACTTGATCAGCGAATAAGGCAATCCCCAGAGATATCCGTACAATCAGAAGTTCTCTAANAAAGTTGCTGCAAGCTCTTTGAGAGCACAGGACCGGTTCTGTCTTCTTTGGGGCTCGTAAGGTAGGCACCATTCCCGGGATTACGTCAGTCTAATCTTCTACTTGAGCCCATACTGAACGACATTTGCAAACTACACTGATTTACACTAATACGGTTTCAGCGGGAGACTTTGGCTGAACCTCTCGTTTACGATGATTTCTGCATAAGGCCACATCAAGTTGCAGTGGAACGATATTCAAGATGTCAAGTTACATCCTTCAGAAGAGGCTGCTGTGTGATTGTGTACATTAACATCTCGAAAATCATACCAAACGAAACACGAAGCGGCCTGTTGCAGCAGGAATCAATTGTCAATTGTGATTTGCTCGCAATGTCAAAGGAAATTCAATCAAACACCCATTCATAGCCACAGTCGGTCCGTATGCACAGTTATCGACTATTGATTCTACACACGGGTAAAACACAGATCCTGAAATGCTATTTCCCACCCCCCATCTGGCATGAATTTTCAAGCAATGAGTCTGGGAAACTTGATCAGCGAATAAGGCAATCCCCAGAGATATCCGTACAATCAGAAGTTCTCTAATTTAAACAGGTTGCAGCATATTGGCCAAACAATGATAAAAAGAGCCATATTTAAAAATTACAGTGACACTATTGTAAATACGCGAAAATCATGCTCAATAAAGCATCAGTCACCATGTACCGTGAAACTAAATGCTCGTGATATTCAACCGTGTTCATCATTTTCTTTACGTAGATGGGACCAGTATGATACGAATAACCGTTTGGTAGATCGTATATGGACCTTGAGGCAGTGGCGAGATGAACTTGCCGCACAACTGCGCCGTTTAAAACAACGTATGGCTGATTTACGAGATGCCAAAATGATTACGGAGGACTACATGGTCAAGTTGTCCGACGCTCAGCAGGTCAACACCGAGGTTCTGACCCTCATGGATCGCAGACGCCAGGGAGAGTATATACTGGACCCAGTTGAGGTCGAACTGAAAGGCGTTAGTTACAGATTATTTTTTTATTGTTGCACAAAATTTGAATAGTTCTCTATTATTCCGCATACTGCTTTTCTACGTTCAACTATTTCTGCTAACTTACATAGTCCGATTGAAACTTTTCGTTACTTCTCATTTTTGGGCACCAGATACTACTTTGCTACTTTGGGTGCTGTCACTTAAAGCAGCAATCAGGAATTTTATTTTGTCCCAACGCTGTGACACAGTTCGCATCAAGACGATAAATTAATTCACATTCGTATGATAAGTTTGGGCTATATTTTCGATTCGATAGGCTGACTTAAAACAGAACAGCCGACACTGCAGGTTGAAGGTGTACACTGTGTGGTTCTCATTCTTGAGTTACACCAATCCCCCTTTTATATACATAGCCAATACATGTCCTGTAGGAGCGGTTTACTTCAAACTGTATCGGGCTTGTTGTTCCGCTTACTGACTGATTGAAGTGTGCAAATAAACTACTGATATTCTATGAGTAGCGAGATGTGCGTAGCAGCTTACCGTGGCGGCATGATTTTTGTGAATTATTGGTCGGACATTTTCCACAAGGTCGACAGTCTTTCAGCACAATAACGTCTTTCCCAAACATCCAGAATACTGTTCAAGCAAACCACTAGTGTTTCAAGTACTGATGGCTTTTCGACGGGATCACTTCCTGAGTAACTGTTAACCTGACCCACAGATGTCATCAGTCAAAATTATCCATCAGCGTCAATTAATGCGGACGTGCAAGCAATTTCTAATGAACCGAAAACCTATCAATCAATGCCTGTCCATTACACCTGGTCATCCCAAGTAGGTGATACTACATTCTTTTGCGGAGGCGTCAACATCTGACTCATTTGTGGACCCTCGAAAATAGTCACCGATTACAAGAATTCGATGACGGGCTTTGTTTATCTGTGGAGAAAATCTTATGTAGGTAGAAAATTTCCTTCAAAGTAGTCATGAACTGATGCAGGAATGCGAGCAAGGGCTCGAATATGTATGCCGAGAGCTGTTGCTATGTGTACGACGCAGCAAGTCTGTGTTAAAAGTTTCCAGCCCTTCCCCCACATTCTTCATCCTACCTACACCGTCCATTCTTCTTTTACCGTTACAAGGAACAAGTACTACTCAAAGAGATTTACGATAGTCTCCAGAGCCGAATACTGGAAGCATTTGAGACGCTGATTCACATGCAAGAAGCGGCCGACGCTCTGGAGAAGGATGTAGCCGACAAAAACGAAGCCATGAGGATTGATATTGACCAACACAATCTGACAGAGAAATCTGCAAACATTGGATTTAAGCCATTTGCGACCAGAAAACCGGAGCTGTGAGTGTGGTACATTTTTTTTGATATAGTGTAGTATAGTTTAGAACAGTATACTACAGTATAGAAAGGTATAGTATAGTGTGGCATAACATATTGTAGTACAGTATATTATAGTGTGGTGTAGTATAATATCTTATAGTATAATGAAGATAGCGTAGTATAGTATAGTAGAGATGGCGCGGCATAGTATAGTATAGTACAGTAAAGATAGTATAGCATAGCCTAGTACGGTAGAGCCTAGTACAGTGTGATACAGCATGACAGTGTAGCACAGTGTAGCATAGTATAGTATGAGCACCAATTAGCATGCGAATTCTTCAGAGTTAACCACCGTTCTCTTCCAAGTTCTATCTACTTTTTTGGTCATGATCACCCGATAAACGACTTGTAAGGCTAGTCACCTGTCTACGAAGTGAGTGATTTCGGCCAGCTGTGACCCGATGTTGCTGGATTTACAATTTTCCAGTCGCCACTCGGAAAAACTGAATTGTGTTCCACTACACGGACTATATATCTATGGAATCAAACGGTGCTATCGATTCAACTGAAGTCCCAGACAAACCAAACGTAGTTCACCATTATATAAGAATTGCCTTTATAACTGAGCACGTCAACCAGCCGACTTAACACAACGAAATGTGCACAGAAAGCGAAATTGCACAGTTCAGTGTGACCGCTTGAATAGTTTCGTAACAGAACAACTGAAGTGAACTTCAATCAAGTGCTTGATTGAAACAGTAATGAAGATACGTCCTCCCGAAATTATCAAAGGCGACCCAAAATTTTAGAGCACCTGTTTTGCAGTACTACTGTAACAGTGATACTACTGATCGGAGAGGCATGCGAGTAATATATTTTCTTGTAAATCCGCTTTGCGTCTCTGGAAAAGTGAGATCTATTACGGAATTTGTGGAGTCGCTTTGTAGCATTCGCTTGCATTTGAGTAGCAGTCAATGAATACCCAGAAAAGCTGACGAAGACGCGTTCAAAGAGAGGATGGATATTCAGTTTTTGTGAACAAGATGCATATGAAAGTTTTGCTTCCATATCCAACAGTCTGTAACTGTTCATTTGGCATTTTATAATAAATAACTCCGCAGCAAAGGCCTTCTTCCTTTCACTACCATACTGATCACCCATTATTTAGAACTCTGCAGTCCGCAAAACAGAAGACCCAACAGCCCACTGTGGAGAAAAAGCTGTCACATTCGAAGGCAAGCAGTGGTACAAGTCGTTCAGCATGAGGTTTAGGCCTGTTGACACGGCGTACATGGTCGCCAAATTGTGCTTGAATTCCAGTTCCAGCCACGCTATCAGGACCCACCTGAAGGTTAAACTGCCAAAAAGTATCATCAGCTTCTTCGTATACTTGTTTGTACATCCATGTGGGACATTATCTGTTGGTCATACGACCAGACGTCTGTCCGACGGGCTACGTTAACATACTTCAGTTTCTCTGAATGGTATTTGGGACCATCCTCTTCACAGACAAGAAACGTGTCTTCCAAGTGTTGTACCGGGTGCATTTGAACTGGCCACGGACAGCACTATTTCACAGAGGCTATAGAAATTCAATTAGTAGACCTGCAGTTCCGTAATCAAGAGAAACTCCAATGACCATTTAACTTGCACGGCCCAAAATACCGTTCAGCTGTAGCACCCTGTCGGTGCCTAACTGCTATGCTACCCGGAGGTTGCACGAGAGCTGGGATACTGCCAGACTGCCTGAGCCAAGACAAGGGGTCGGGTTCGAACCATGGACCTTCCGGTCAGTAAATCCACGCTCTGACCACTTGGGCCATCTCGCCCAACTACTAACTATTCTGTTCTCATGACTCAGTTTGATTTTAAAGTCATCCATTTTACTTCGTGCTCCATTTGGACCCACTTTTACCTTTGTGTCCGTGAACTTGATATAATCATGTACTTGGCTTATGTCCAGCTTCACCTAAGTTTATGATGCATTAGCCAAGATGGACAGCTGTAGAAAGCAAGCTTTGTTCGCTGTGTTTGTGACATCTGTTTCTGTTTAGTTTACTTGATTGCACAAATCCACCGACTGCCCAAACATTGAACTGTTCCACGTTGCATTCTTCAGTAGTCTACCTTTCTCAAATGTGAAGCGTAAACGTTTAATTTCCAAATCAAACTGTTGTACTGCTTCCAGAAGCATCCTGTTTTGCGTGTATCCACTTGTCATCTATTGGTAATCATCTCACCAGATTGGTGTCTACTTGTGGGACATCACAAAAAGTGCGATCGGCTAGACTGGCTCGGTGGCGATGTCTTCTCAGTTCGAGACGAAATATTACAATCAAACTGTAAGGCTCGATGTGCGGACGATGTGCGCATCTGCCTGAACAATAACTGAAGAAAGCGAACACAACTCCTTGTTCTCCTTACTACGATTATTCTCAAAATCACAATGTTATCCAGATAGGTATAGTAACATGAACTTTGAAAAATTGAGGTTAAACTACTTCATTCCGTATTAGCAAATTTAGTTGTTCCGTTGATTAATGAGGTGAGCATTCCTAATGACTGATGATCAATATTAGAGAGTGCACCAGTAACTGATGATCACGGTAGACATAAATAAATGGTGACTACCTGGCTCTCCGCTCAGCACCCAGATTTGTTTCACAGGTCGATCGGTTTGAATGACTTCCGTTTTCTTATCGTGTTCAGCATCTTGGGCGATAACATGAACTAGGTGGCTTTCCCATACTTTCTGACATGGGCCTGTCCCGTAGTTATGTTTGAAGGGTTCGAAACCATGATGACTATATTGTATCGTTCAGCTGTAGCACCCTTTCATTGCCCAACTGCCATGCCACACGACGGAGGGCAGGTCGCCCAAGCCCAGATTGGGGAAGTCGAGAGTTGGAGGTTGGGTTCGAACCACGGACCTTCCAGTCAGTAAATTCGCGCTCTAACCACTTGGGCCATCTCGCCCACTACATTGTATGATAGCGATTGTTTAACGCTGGCAGACACCGTTTCTGATACCGCGCCGGTGATCCATACATTCACCACTCACTATTTTGCTGTACACCTTTCCGATATTTAGTTGATGAGACTCTTTGTGCACAAGGTCCAACATCCAACGCGTCTGAATACGTGTAAACGATAACTGCGCTTTGGATAGCTAAAAACTGAACTTCGAATAACCAGCTGTAAAAGTGCCAAACACGTATAACCGGATGCCTCGTCCTATGGTAGGCGAACACAAGGATACGTGGCCTGTTTATCCAGTCCAGCAAAGGTGAAAAGTCACGTGTGACTGGGTAATTTTAGTTTTGGATCAGTGTTGTGTTTACCTCCTCTGAACATAGATCACCTGGCGAGATGTCAGGTTTCAGCGTATTACCTTTCCAAACTCACCCAGAAGCCCACCCGCCTGTATGTCAACCGAGTGTTCTAAAAACAGCCTTGAGCAAATGCTAAAATCCAGCAGATTGGGTATTTACCGCTTGTATGGTGTGACCAAGTTGGGTCGGTTGGAGCACATCCGCAGAATTATAAATCTTTCGATTGTTACGTCTCTCGATATCTTTCAATTCAGCTGTCGTTGAGGTTAGCTCAAATCCGTGACGCCGGTTGTGGTGTCCCATAAACTTAGTATGAACCTAATATGGACGTGGAAACAAAGTGGAATGAAATATGCATCGTGTGAATCCAGTCGTCGAACCCTGATTACGGACAGGAAGGCTGAAATCAAAGTCGGAGATTCCAGCTTTTCCACCGTTTCTGACCTACGGGATTCCGCGGTGGAATAACAGGCAGAAGGACATTCGTTTCAGTCAGAATAGGGCTGATTTTGTCAATTGACGAAAAGACCAACCACCTAGAAGAGTTGCATCCCAACAAGTTGATTCAGGCACATTTAAAAACTCTGAAGAGTTGCTCACCGAATGACTCATCTGAAACTGGAGAAACGAACCCAGAGAATGGACGGATCACCTTGTCAGTATATAAGAAAGAACTTCATTGTGGGCTACTCTAGTGAAGTTGCCCATATGGTGAAGCAAAATACAGACAGAAGTGGTTGATGACTACATAAAGATGCTTACTCACTACCTCTTTATAGCTGATCCAAAAAACCAACCAGTGGATAGGAAAGGTTGTCCTTTTCACGTTTCTAGGTCCCATCCTTCGGAACATGAACAGAAAAAGCAACGCGAATGGAAGAGTCTGTTTCTGTTGACAGACGGGAACGCGAAAACCCTACAATCTCACGGACATCCATAAAATCATTCTACTTACTGGATAAGACGGATCGCACTGAACGTCAAACATTCAGTAAATCCTAAGAGAGTGAATGAATCTATGTGACTCTACCTGTGAGATGAGATTCCGAGTGAAACCGAAAAACCTCTTTACTACCAAAAAAACTACGAATAAGATGCTCAGGAAGGGAGATAGCCCACCCAAGAAGCGAGTTAGACAGAGCACATGACTTTAGCCATTGGATTGAAATCTAGTGCGAGTCAACTGTACATGTGATCAACCATGAGCGGGTGAATTGCATTGTACTGAACCAATAACAGGAACGTCCTCGTTTCAAGTCATCCCATAAGTTCGTCAGACGCACACCTTTGGAAGCAGAGGCGAGACGAAGTACGCTGCTGATCTGATTTTCAGCGGAATTAAAGTTCTATTGAAAAGACAAAGGTCACTCGGCGGTTGCTCAAATCAGCTGTTCAAACTGTGCTTCCAAATTAGGGATGTCTTGATGGAAATGTTTAGATCGACTTTTGAGTCTCCACAGAATACTGCCTTGTGCACATACTCACTGAGTGCTAACAAAAGTCTCGGATGCAGTGGTCTTTGGTCGTAAGAGTGGGTTTTACATTGTCCGGAGCAAAACGGACTGAAGTCCACAGATGCTCACGCACAGCAATGTTGATTCTCTGGACTGAGGAAGATCTTCCACTGATTCGTGGAACTCTGTCGAAGCGATTTCCAATTCGTTGGATTATCGTCATAAGACAAGGCTGAGAAATGAGCGTTATTGTTTTTTTCGTAATTTATGGATGGTTAGTAGATTTTCAGAAAAAATACGACCAATTCAATGTAATTAACTGGCATGGAAAGTGGTTCTGAATTCTGCAAGTGGAGTGGTCTTTCTACTCGACGGGAGAATTCTTGGAAGAGCACTGTGATTCATACCTGTGGGAACGAAACGAATTTGCGAAATAAAAAATCCACATGGGCTTTTCACTTTACCATTCTGAATATTTTTCTTTTCCATATTTGATCATCAGCGAATCCTTGAAAACATCACCTACTGGTCACTTCACTCACCTCCAGGTGAAGTTTCGAGTCAAACGCGTATTCCTTGCAAAAGTTTTAGTCTGCGGCCAAAATCTTTATGTTCAAAATCAGTTTTATTCGTCTCACCGAAAACTCTCCTTTATTTGGCATCTACCCAGTGGGTTTCCCATCCTTTTGAATCATTCAATCGTTCAGCCACCCGAAGCAGACACGAAGGCCGCGATAGTGCCAGGTTTCTTGAGCCTAGCAGTCCAGACGCTTTGGTTGGATTTGAACAACGGATCTTTTGGGGTCACCAGGTCTGCGCGTTACTCGCTTGGCCATCTCGCACTTGACTGAATCACCTGACCCTTATTCTGTTGATGAACACGCACTATCTATCTAGATTGAGTAGTTGTACCATGCCTGGTGAGTATATTTGTATGCTTTCCCGATTTCGTTCAAAAATACGCCAATTTTGTAACAGTGTAATGAGGCTTTCTTCAAATTGAAGGCTATTATGTGAAACACTAAACCATAGAAACATGAAAATTAAGGCCTGGTTGGTCTGACAGTTGGTGACAATTTGGAAACCGTTCAAAAGACCCGGAATTGCAGTGGTTGTTCTGGTGACCGAAATGATGTCTTGCTCCAGTACTAATAAGAAGAGCCAGTGTCTCACATCTACTTGGTTCTCGTGTAATCACAAAACCTTACAATTTACAGTCAAATGGACCTTCAGTCGTGGGAAGAACTCAGTCGAAAGGCACTAGACCGGGCGCAAGCCGAGATCGAACGAGCTGCGGAAGTAATTCACTCCTTGCATCTCGGTCTACACCAGGCTGCCAATAGGATGCTTGCCAAATCCGACCGCGCTGCCGATGCGATTAGGATGAGATTACACGATACGGAGAGGGCGATCCGTGAGCTCGAAGCTCAACGTGATATGGTAAGTTGACATTCAATGGATCTAAACTGTATTGGCTAATGTTAGATTCTTTCTATTTCGGTTTCCAAGTTATATTGTCCCGTAAAGTTTTATCCAGCTTCTTTTATTCTTCTCTGTCAACTTGCAGTGTGCCGCTAAACTTGTTTGATAACCCGAACCACAGTATGCAGTAGCCAGTTGTGAAGAACGACCTTAAGACAGTGCAGTGTTGGTGTCAATGAATGATTTCCTTTTCATCGAAAGTCCGACTGACCGAAGTCTTGGACAGCCTAGCGTTAATGCTACACTGACTCATTGCGGATTCGCCGACACCAACCCACATGAGCTATGGTTCTAAGACAAGGACTGTCGAACACCTGAAGAAGTATCAGTTCCGCTGCTCGAATAGGCCAAGTCTCACAGCCAACAGCCCGTACTGTAGCTTGCTACACACGCCCCTTGAGCTTCAGGGATAAACCACTCTGACGCCGTAGGTGCCTCAAATTAGCGAATGCGACCCGAGCCTTGCAGATTCGTTCATTGATCTCATCTATCACACTACGATCGGAACTAATACAACTTCCAATATACGTGAAAACGCTCCACAACTTCCAGTGCCTCTCCGTGGATTGTAATAACCTTAGTAACCTTAGTAAAACACATGCTCAGTCGTTTTCTATACACTCTCCCGATTCCCCTTAACTAGTAGTATCTGAAAAAGGAGAATTCGGCATGTGTCCTGTAGTGAAATGAGTCATATTCACTTCTAACCCACTTGGGATTCTTGTGATTCTTATTCAATTCAGACAGAAAAAGAACGCGGGAAGCTTCAACTGGAACTAAGAAACCTGGAAGAGGCACGGCGAGCCAAGTATGCTACTTTAAAACTGGCTCAGACACGTTTGGAAGGGAGGCATGATCGTCCCGGAAATGAGAACATCGAGGATGCTGCACACGCTGGCCTTTTGGAAGAACTCAAAGGAATTGTGGATAGTATTGATGCATTGGATGAACAAATTGACAAATCCAGGTAGGTCCAGCGAGGTGTGCATCACATCACTGTGGTATTCACGCTAATTTCGTTACTTCCTATTCAGTACCATAGGGTGTCCATCCAGGCAATCTCCAAGGGGAAGCTACCATTGGGGATAAAAGTTTTGCGGCACAGAATTTCTTCGGTTGCCTTCGTCTAGCTAATAGCATAACCCTCCAGAACTAGGGGGAATACCCTATAGTCTATGGAATGACTGATATACTCCCTAGGAAGATAAACCATAGTGACAACGGATTTGCCGTCAGCCGGCCTTGAACAGCTGACCGCGATACCGATGTCAACATTAGACCACGCGTACCACAAAGCTTACCTTGACTCTGTTCCAGCCATTGGCACAGCATGCTGGTTCATATTGGTGCGATATTCTCTGTGGGCCAATTGCTTCGTTATCTTTCGTTTCGACCTGTGGAATCATTGAGCTAAGGAGCCTGACCTTGATCAGCCGTACGCACCAATGGCGTAGACAACAGAACGAAAGATGTGGGTAACATTTCGAAGTGGTCACCTGATATTGTTGAGGAAAAATATAAAAGCCTGATCGACGTGGCACTGCCTGCTCAGAAAACAAGTTGTTTCCACAGATCACAGGATAAGGCGGTGTGACAAACTGCAACACGTTGATGCGCCATCGAATAGGTTTGATGAAACTGGAATGAATGACTAGCAACGACCCCGCTTATTATCTCGGTTTGTGAAAACAATGAATGACTAGCAACGACCCCGCTTATTATCTCGGTTTGTGAAAACAATATGGATACTGCTGAGAGTATCGTCAATGTGGCTATCAGACCCAACGGGAGTAAAATTTTAGTGGGCTATACCGGGCAAAGTGACACAGTCACCTCGGAAAGACTGTGTCTGACGGACTGACTGCAACACGGCACGCAGTTCGTCACTGCAAAGCCTGATACTAAGTAACATCTCTGCCCCGAAAGCAGTTCAACAAATTGAAATCGTAACACAGTATCCTGGTTGGATTGCTACTAGTCATACTCAATATTTCGAAAGACGAAAGACTAAATAAATTATCAGAAGCGAATAGTGAAATCTCCCGGACTCTTCAAAAATTGCATATGAAGTTAGAACTCCACCTTTGTCTCAAACATTTCAAAGGAGCTTGTAGAGAAAACCCACAGATAACTGAATTTCTCCAGGGCACTTGCACACTTACACACTCAGCTTGGGTCGGGCCAAATGTGACTTAACAGCATAGGTCAACCAGGCAAGTGCGAATCGACCTAATCCGTTGCGATCGATGGGCCGATCCAACGAGTCGGCAAAGTAAGGAAAATCGGAGTCCATTAAAAAACCATTGATCAAAGCCACAGTTTCTTAGAAAGTGCAGCAGCAAATTTCATTTGATAATATGACCAATAGTGAGTGTTTTCGTAAGGTTGGCGAAAATTCTTCGACAGCCCACGACCGGTTTCACCCTTCTTGAAGTCTCATCAGGTGGGCAGAGTCCCCGAGTTCCACTTGAAACCAAACTGAACGAAATTAGCGAGATACACTCATTTGCAAACAAATTTGGTTTTGCGACAGACTCACTTGGAACTCAGCTGAATCGTTTACGATGTTTCCTGGAAACCTATTTCGCTAGTGAGCGTTTTGTTTCTATTCACTCAAGGTCACGATAATGAGACCTGAATCATGAGATTGGCGCAAGAAGAAACTGAAATTGATTTTATTGCCGGAAGACTAATCTTGGAACGGTGACGTTATCTCTAGTGGCGTAGTGGAGAATTTATCTGCTTTATTATAATAGTCTCTTTATACCAAGCGATCGTAGACGACACTACATTGTAAAGCACGGATAACCAAAAGAAGTGTGAAACAGCAAAGGCGAGTGAACAATAAAGTAAGAAAACTAGCTGACTCATCTATCGGTCTTCAACAATCCGTCAGGTGCTAGAAAAACGCCGTACGTACAAACGACCCGCGATTTCGACAGTCCGCGTGCCTGACGCGGTTGGCCGGTTTGTCCTGCTTCACACTTTTGCCCAGCAAGGAATGTCCCGGAATTTGGTAAACATAATAAGTTCTTTGTGTTCTCACACTTCCAGACTTGTGTGAGGGAGCACACAGAGCTATCGGTACACAGAGTAGTGTAAGTCACGCCTACCCACTCCCTCCATTCCTGTTTAATTTGAAACGAATGCTAAAAGTTCCTAAGAATCTTGATGGTCAGATAGCTACTGACGAAAACCTTGTCGATCTGGAATATGTAGACGACATCACTGTCGTCTTCGAAGAGGAGGCACATGTGTTTTCGGATGAACTGAACAAAGTGTATAAGTTCGTATGAATTTTATCAAACATTTACACACTACGGACATGATGAAACGTGACCGCGGTAAGTGGAGGAACTTTATCAATCGTAGAAAAATCGCTTTGTTTGCTTCATCCACCAAACGACCGATTCACACAACCCGTCATCACCACTGAAATCGAACGAATTCCAAAAATCGATGCACCACTACTTCACAGTACTCTTAGTACATCACAGTTCCCACTGCACTGTTCAAGAATCCTTAACTGTGTATTCCACAATTCTCTGGGAAGTTGTAAAGAACACATAACTGTTCCTTCATTAGTGAGACTCAAAGAAATAGCACTATCATTTAGCATCACACGTGGCTGATCAATTATATACTAACATCGTACTCTTATACGAGATAGTCCCACGTTTCATCCACGTCTCACGGTATTTAGCCATGCTCTTTAGCAGAAAACCCCGGGTGAGATAGTGTGAAATCTAGTTAGACCCCTTCAAACTGTATGTACACATTCTGTTTCAATGTGTTCCTTCCTCACGGAGACCAAACCAATGAACTAATCAATTTTGTATGACATTTGGATGCACAGAGAATTGCCTAGTCTCACCTAGACAATCTACTCTACTTGTCCATTGCAGAGCCGCCATTGGTCGACTGGACAGTCAGTTGGCCAGACTTTGTCAAGCAGGCAAGATGAAACGAGAAACGCTTCAAGTGTTTCAAGAATTGGTGAACATTAGGAAGCGGCTTGAAACTCCACCACACACCCGTTATCCTTATTGTCCAATGATCCCAGAAGGAATCATACGCCAGCCAGTTATTTTCTAACCCAGGCTATACCCTTTTCTTGCCAGCCATATTGCATTAACTACCCGCATCGTAGTGATACGCTGACGGAACAATCTACTGGACGCCCAAGTGCCAAATACCGCAGTGCAATAGTGAATTGGTGCAAAAGCGCTTTGAATTCTTTTCGAAAACCATTTGAACTTATTCCTTGCTGAAAGAGTTGCAGATCCGAAATTCGATAAATATGGTATCGAAGAGTGTCTTATTTGCGTACGTGCAAGAAAGTAAAACCATTCGACGACTACTACTTGTCTTTTGTTCAGTTGAATTACTGGAGCGCCATATTACTATACGGATCAGAAACCTGGCCGCTGCGCGCTGAGGAGGTCAAAAGACTTTCAGTTTTGACCGTCGATGTCTTCGGAGCATTGTCTGAATCTGGTGAGAATGGTATTCGGGAGAAATAACTCACCCCCGATAGATGAACTGATCACACTGCATAGGTTGCGCTGACTGGGCCACGTGCTGCGCATGCCAGTCGACCGACTTCCTCGAAGGGCTCTTTTCGCACAACCACGTGAAGGGTGGAGGAGAGCCAGAGGCGGTCAAACAGTGACTTGGCAGCGAAGTGTGAAAGCCATTACCAGCAAACTCAGCTGCGCTGGTCACTGCCGTCTTCCTGGATGGGGACCTCGAGATGGGCCATGTCAATGGTTAGAGATTGTCAGACATAGCCCGGTCGCGCCCTCAATGGCGCTCGTACATCCAAGCTATTATCTTCAGTGCATAGCTCCCTTCCCTATCCCCCCACTTAACAGTCCACCTACAGTATTTGCGCACTAATTTATCAGCTCCCGCCTTCGTTCGCAACTAACCTACCCCACCTCCCCGAATCATCGGTGGACAAAACTGTGGCAGCTACAACCACTGTACGACAAGTACGCGGCTATTACAGCTAACAGTGATGGTGATGACGGCTTGAGATTAGAATTTGACATGGTCTGTTAGAAACCGCAGTTGAATACCCCGAACTGAAGGTACAATGCAGTTTAGCCTACCCCGACGCCTGTATCCAGTTGACGGTGCGGGGATCATTTATTCATTTCAACTAATTTTACCCAGAATCAGGATGTTCACGATAAAATACATCCGATTATTGACAAGTAGCCTATCGAGTAAATTCAATCCGCAGTCGTTCGTTTCAGCAGCTTGCGAAATACGGCCACAATCTTCAGAACTCGAGCGTTGTCACTTGTCTAAAAGGCAGTGGGCCATTCAAACATGAGCAGTTGCTTGCCGCATGTCTTAGTGTCTAGGATGCGGTAAAACGAGTTGTTGATCCGCATTGCTATTCAGTTATTCAAACTGCCGGGTGCTTCTTCGTCGTGGATTCTGAGACACAATATACTCGTTCAATCGTCAAATATGGGACTGGGACACGCACAGAATGAACCGAAGCGTCTTCCCATAAGGGCAGTCCTTCTCAGAGCGGACTAACGAGGGAAACAGAGGTAGATTAGTCTTCCGCGGATAAATTACTGGACTAGTCCAATTACCAATTAACTGTGTCCATTTTAGAGTTGACCTTAGCATAGGGCTAAAGATGATCATAGTCCTCCGGTCTCCACCGGCTTCGTGAAACTGACTCGTCTTGGAAACGTTTACGTAAATCACTGTGTGAGTCAACCCAACTAAAACACGACGAGTATCGTGAACAGACTTGACTGGGTATCTTCCGGTGTTCATAAAATGCAGTATGAGGTACTTCCTAGAATAAAAGGAGCCAGTTTGATCGAATGTACCCAGTTGGAGACCCGCTATCCATCATAATCGGCAAATCCGGAAACTAAATACCGGAACGTTTGAAGAACTTTTAGACATAAGGGATGATAAACTCAGGACTCGTGTATAGTATAAAAGGCATCCATATGAACGGACATAGATAGCAGTTCTTACACAAGGCCCTCATTCAGTCAGGCAATTACCCCTCATTATCACCGGAACGAGAAGTATTCAGACCGTTAGGTAAAGTATTACAGAGATCAGGTTCCTTCGTTAGGCTTGGAAACAGTATCTTGAAGTACATACTTGAACGTAGCGAATCAATGATGGCAGCAGGGAAGAGCAATGCCCCCCTCCCCACCCACATACAAAGATAACCTTTCGCGTCGGGAGGTGATCCTGATGAGCTTATGACGAATTTTGAGGGCAAACCCACATTTGAAAGGGAGTCTGTGAATAGAATAACGCGAATTACTGCCACCGGTACGGCTAGCATTCGTGTGTTAGGATAATACCAATCATCAAAATGATCCTCGAATCACATCTTCATTTCCTACTTTCGCACCTTATGTTGGATCGTTTAGTATGGGTGGGAGCTTAAAGAACCCTGGATTTAATAGGTGCTCTATCATCGGTGCTCACAAGAAGTTGATCGAAATAAAACCTCTGTGTATTTCAACAGATAAAAATGAAGCGGCACATGGGACAAAATTATGCGCTCGGGAAGTGGATAGAAAAGACCACTGAGGGAGAGAAGAGGTTGATAAAAAGACAAGTGGAGGATAGTCCTAGCCAAGGTTGGATTGCTGAGTGGTCTGTTCTTGTGCCACGGTGCTAGTGCGGAGATGTTCACGGGCTAGCGAGTGCAACTGCTCCCAGGTCTGTGCAAGCAGCCAGTTTAAGTGACGGGTGGAAGGGTGCGGTGAGATCTGGCTTGACGGGACCACAAGCTCAGAAGAAGGCTTATCAGGTTTCGATGCTGAAGGCGGGGATGGAGCACGTCGTCTGGGCCGGGAAGGACTGACGGACTGCGGAAGACCTGAATGGCGATTAAAAGGATTACTCCGTCCGGATTCCAGTTTCGGCGCAGAGCCCGCAGTGACACCATGCTGGATGGACGGTACCGGTGGTGGCGACTCGATTTTGGAGCTTCTCCGTACGGCGGTCAACGCACTCAACTGGTCTTCGAGATCTTCCAGAGTCAGAGTAAGAAAATCAATCCCGGATCTGCTCAGAACTCTCATCCACTGCTGCATACAGTTCGTGAGGGAAAACAAATAGAACAGAACAACTGGATGACAGGGACAGAACGGATACGATCGGAGCAAAGTTATATATTCGGTGTAGCATGGGCAATAAAACTAAGGCTGCGTCAAGCGCCTCACCTCCACCATTCACCCGCCACATTACATGACACAATACTCAGTCCAGTTAACCAGAGCCGGTGGTAAAATAACCCAAAAAATCAAAAGGTCGCAGCTGAGTTACCAAGCACTAGCCTCATGACTCCCCCAACTGGAGAGAGGAAATGCCATGCATGCGAAAATGTGAGTTGAACAATGTCGATTGAGGTCGACCACCTACCACTTTCCGTACCGCCAATTGTCTAGTTTATGTTCTGTGTCCTGTGGGCCAACTCGCCGACTCGTGCATGAAAGACCGAGTTGTGGCATGTGTTTAGAGGCTGGCTGGATAAATCACAGTCAGCCATGGCGTAACGTGTGAGTATGATCTTTGCAATTCATTTCACCATGCTGCCGGAAACGCATCGCCTATTATGCGCTGAGAAACATTGACATAGTTTGATGTGATAGTTACATCCTGATTCGGATGTCAGCCAACGATGATCAATGAATTTAGGGGCACTGGCTTCCTGTTTTGGTCGTTAACCAAGAAGCGAAACGAAAGGACACGTACCACGACTGTCTTTCGCAACATGACTGCATCAAGCCGCTGATTGGGACTGAAACACAGGAAAATGATCGGTAGTTGACCAGATGACTGCTGATCTGCTCACAAAGCATGACAATTGACCCACCCGACCGCACACTGATGGTGTCTTCTCGAATAGGACGAAACGTTTGCAATTCTGGTGCCAAGTTCAGGGAACAGATAACCGGCCAGCAGATCAATCATTAGTAAATCCACCTGAGCAGTTCATAATCTAATAAGTGAGCTCCACTGCCTCGCCTATCCTGAATAAATGGATAACCATAGAAGACACTTGATAGTCGACCTCTTTCCAGTGCCGCAGGTCAAACCTTTGCAAGCGCGCGGCCTTTACTTGGGATTGAGACAGCTAAACGGTCTCACCGCGAGGGCCTACATGTCTCCATTTCATGTTTGGACAGCCACTCCAGATGAATAGTTTTCGCAAGTACGTAGCAATCTGACTCCTCACTAACCGAAATAGCTGTTAAATTGGCTGTATTGTTGAAATGTTGGTGCACCAAACTCTGGTCTAGGTCGGTGTTTGTTCTCTGTGGGTGTGTGCGTTCGTGCAGGAGAGGGCGCTGACTGAAAGAGGACAAAAATGGTGTTCTCGCTGCGTACAACAATGCTGTGTCGAAGCCTGGAATTTTACATTTCTAGAGACGAATGTCAAGCTACCATGAGCCAAGGGCTCAAAATTGACTGTGGATTATTTATTAACATGTTATTATTACAATGGATTCTGAAACAGGATTACCTACACTTCCGTCACTATGACACCATCCTTCTTCAATACCTTGGTTTCTAATTTCGGGGTACCATGAAAATTCATTTGCCGCTTTTGGAGCTTCTCACGTTAATATATTTTCACACAAATCAAGGACGGTCCAATCAGAACCTTTCCATCCCTTCTAAGATTTCGTCCAGATCAATTCGATGGTTTCGTTGCTGTGACATGTTGGGCGAATACGTCACCGAGTCACACCACACGAGTTTTAACCACGCAGCTCAGGGGCAAAACGCCACATGACTTCATCACGACTGCATTTGTTTCTAGGACGAATTCCAGTACTAACCCAATGCTATCGTTGGCCTTGACATGGTCAGATGCACGAGCGAACATATTTACACTACCATAAACAGTAGTTAGGCGAACGAGAAATAGGCTCCGTTACTTTGTTTTCTTTAGATCCATAGGTATGGGATACCTGGCACGGACAAGTTTGTAAACTGTTCTGCTATCCACAGCTACTTGCCATAACATAGCCACTAGGTTAGAGAAAAAACAATAAAACAGGCCTAAGGTTTGTTCAAAAAAACGTCTAAGTGCCGGCTTCATTCTGTCATGTTGGGCCATAAAGTCAAACTGAGAACTAGGTCGTCTAACTCGTAATACTTCCTGTTCCATTGGGACTGGCTTCATTAAATGCGGAATGAGTTATAGGATGCTGCCAAACTTAATCCCCTGCTTTACACATAAGCCACGGACGATTTGAATCCTATTGCCTTATGCGTTCTTCAAAATAGTGACCAAACACAAGATACAAGTTTCACCACTTAACGAGAACCTGCGGCGACAGTCCGGTTAGGAAGCGCGCCACTCAACGGGACGGGAAAGCTGTCCACAGGAAGGCACGCAGACCCAAAACAAGCAGACGCAAAAGTACCCGAGTGCTTAGCTTGTCAGTGGCCAGTTTTATTTGTTGTCAGTTTCCGTTCATATTGCCTGAATGAGTGTTTGGAGATGTTGGTACCTCGCATTGATTGTAGTAAGCTAGCTTTAAGTCCCTTCCCCGTCCACTTTTATCCTTTTCTTCACAATAGGGCTTTCAAATAAATCATGGTTGTACGGCAGCGAAGCATCAGTGCTGAACACTGATGTCGTGCTGTCGATGATGATGATGCCTCATGGTCTCATGAAAAATATGCACCTGGCAGTATTATTACATTGTCTTGAATTAGCATCCGACTGAGAGCATTCTGCGTTCACAAACAAGAAGGAACTGAGGTCGAAACGGAGAAGAATGGCCACTTATTACGTAGAAACATTGTTTACAGAGGATATCACAGGCAAAAAGACTAATTAGGACTGACTCAGATAGTGCACAATGATGATAAGGTCTACACACGTGGAATGCGTCATTACGGCACAAGTGGAGATGAGCGTCCGGAAGCGAGTCACTCGAAATAACCGAAAATAACATTGATTGACGGATGTGTTACAAACCGGATATAGAATATAGGGTATACTCTGATCTATTAAAATATCGACCAATCTACAAATGTAGCCGTAGCAATCTTCCTTTGTCTCCATTAATGGTTGCCTAAAGCTAACGTGGCTTTTGGGAGGAACAGGGGCTAGGATATTGGCAGATGGGTTGATTGCACCGCATTGTACAATGGGTTGGGAACGAATGAGGGGGAAGGTCGGTGAGCGAAGAGCTGCAAGGGCAATACTCGTCGGAGCGAAGAGCTGCAAGGGCAAATGATACTCGTCGGTTGCCCAGGTCGAAGAAGAGGGCTTAGTGAGGTACCCCACCTTGAGCCATGACTCAAAAGTCTAACCTACAAGGCAGTAGTAGAATGTAGGGTTTTGTTCGGGAACCCTGCAACTAGCCTCGGACTCACAAGTTCGGACCACGAGAGAGCGGTTGTTAGGGTTTTTGGGGGACCCTCCCCGGAGCCAATGATTCAACAGCATGACCTAATTGGCTGTAGGGAGCCGGCCTGGCTTTAGGGCACAGGGAGTAGGGCATTTATGTTTCACTCCTAATGGGGTTGCGTACAGCAGGTGTCGAGCAGTACCAGGCCGTTTGGTTTCAGAGGTACTTCGGCCGTATTGAACAATGCGCCGGTGGTCATGGTCAACTGTTGGGAGATCGGATTGTGCGGTTTTCGGGGCCGACCTTTTCTAACCCGTCCTTCCTCGGGGGAAGGCAGCATCGCTGCTTCCATATATATGGACATGCTGGTCGCCTGGTGGAAAACACCTTACTGTCTTCACACTCCTATCGCAGAGAAAAGTACGACTTTACCTCCAGACCGCCTCTCAATGTATTCACTCGCAGTACGGGGACTGGCTATTCTTCGTCTGGCTGCTCTCTCCGTTGGCCTTCCTGGCAGAGCTGGACCTTTAGCAACTGACTTCCAGAATCTTTGGAGCGCAGAAGCCAAACCACCACGACAAAGCGACAGCGCAGAAGACATACGGAAGATACCAGCGTTTGATCATCGATGTCTCCACAGCATTGTTCAGGTCTGGTGGACACATCAGATTAGTAATGCTGAGATACGCCAGATGGTCTACGGAAGAAGGAACTCTCCCGCAATAAATGATTACTAACGCTTCATAGGTTGCGCTGGTCGGGTCATGTACTCCGCATGCCAGAAGACCCTCTACCACACAGAGCTCTTTTCATTTCTAGCCCTGTGCTGAGTGAAGGCGACCGACAGGTGTACAGTGTATGACCTGGCAACGAAGTACGAAAACACTAACCAGTAAACTTAGTCGGGTGGGTAACCGCCGCCTCCTCGGATGGATACCGGGACTCAAATCACCTGTGGTTAATGACATTGGCCACTGATGGAACCAATGAGACTGATAACTGTCAGGGAGGCCGGATTCCTGAAAATAACCCCAGAATGCCCGAAACCAAGTAAGACCCTCAAACTCCACCAAAATCTTGACAGGGAAACCAGCAACCATCGACGCCAGTCAATCAATAAATCATTTCAATACCATGGATCAACGACAAATGCCATTCAAATAGAACGAGGCCTCTTGTAACAGTTGCACTTGCTTGTTCGCAGCAAAGCTGTTGTGTTTCTTATTGGCGGCTCTTTTCGACACAATGTCGGCACTAAGGCGGGGACAGAAGTAAATATAACAATAACCAAACATTCGACATTGTAGGCGTGCAAATATCCTATGAAATACTTACTTCGGTATCCGCAGCAGTTTCGCCTCGCAATACATAGCTTCTACAGCTTTCTCCAAGTGATGGAAACCTCAAGGCCATAGTCAGATCGTCCAACATTTCAACCACATGGCCTTCCAGGATGAGAATTCCAAGTGGGTCTCTGTCCAACTTTTTCTCGAAATATGCCAGTATGTTCCCACATACTGTGAAATACCGCTTTTTGAAAGAGCCTTTGTGCTCCAACCTGCGCTTCCATAGGTATCCGGCTTTGTCTTCTTTCTCTAGACTGAGGAATTGTATCACTGTTTTGGGATTCAAAATCCGCATAGGAAGGCTCGCCGATTAAATACACTGCAGAAAATACATTACAAAGCGGGACGTTCAACTGTGTGAATGATTATTCCAGGGAGACCAGACCTGGAGATCGTGTTTCACCCAGGTACCATAATCGGCTGTGGAAAAAAACGACGGAATGATGAGGCGTACAATTTAGAATAAACACACTCTACACAAACATCAATACCAAAAGCATTTCATTCTGGCTGATTAAGTGAACTTAACCTATACAGGCACTTGGAAACGAGAAATTCCGACAACATAACAAAGATCTGTGCTTCCGGATAAGTTCATCACTTACTCCGGGGAGGAAATACCTATATAACTGGGCAGTTTATTGTGGAGGCACTAAGCGCTGTCGGACAATTGGTACATTTCTCTACGTACAGCATGCGATATGATATTAGCTACCGCAGGGAGAAAGTCCAGTTCAGGGGACATCGAACACTTTGGCAGCATATAAGTATCAAGATATATGGATCGAATCGGTAGGCGCAGGGTCACTGCTATGCATTGATGTGTGGATTTCTGTGATATTCCAATCAATGCTGATGGGACTAGGTTACTTAGCTCAATTCACTTTAGGATTCCTCTCGACAGCCGCGGTAGGTAAGTCAGTTCTGGGGGAATGACCCTATCGTTCCAGAAATATCAGCGCAAACCTACTGAGCTGTCGTTCCATAGGCTCGACGTGCTGCTAGTGAGACTGTCTCAGTGATTCGACCGCAAGTGATGGCCACCACAAACAGTTTTGGATAGCTGGAGTGTGCGAAATTTGGTTCACAGAATAGCCTCATCAGAAAATGTTTGGCACAATGAATACCTTCTCTTTGTGGACATTATTTAGCTGGCCTCCAGATTTTGTGCGGCTAGAACGGGGCTCATAGCTCATTTGTGAAAGAGTATCGTTCTTACACAGATGTGAATTAGAGCGAAGAACCCATGATCGCGGCCACAGTAAGGTCGATGAAAGCAACACAAAGTCATACATGAAGAAGTAAAGCATTTTGAAGGAATCGATGAAAGTTTGCTTGGCTTTCAAATAGCTGGGTGTAAAAACTGAGGCGAATAATGGAAAAGCAGAAAGACACGATGCAACCGCATGTAAAGAAGGAAAAAGCTGAGTTCTACAACATACGGCAGAGCCCTTATATAGGCGGATAGATGGTTGAATGAGACCCTTGATTAGAAGATACAAGCAGTTAAACAGCAGTATATATTAATGGTGCATTGCTGACACGCCACCAGAAGGAAGCACGAAGGCTGCGATATTGCCAGGTTTCCCAAGTCTAGACAGAGGCAGTTGAGAGGCAGAGGTCGGGTTCGAATCACGGACCTTCCTGTTAGTAAATTCGCGCTGTAACCACTGAGGCACCTTCGAAAAGTAATATTACATATATATATATATATGTTATTTCAAACATGAGGTTAATATTGTTGAGTACCGTGAACTTGAAATGTATACCGGAGAGGATTGACAAACCTGCATGCTCGAAATAGAAAGCAATCATACCAGAGGAATGAGTCATGAATAGCCTGATATGGGTGGGTCAGAAAAGGTTAGTTGTTCAGCTGTGACACCCTTGCGGTGCTTAGCAAGAGGGCTTAGATTAGAGCAGTCGATATGCTGGATTTGGGTTCGAACCACGGACGATTCGGTCGGTAAGCTCGCGCCTTAACCATTGAGCTATCTTGAACTCGAAAATCGTTGCTAAACATGAGTCCAATAACAGTGGGCGAGGGAGAATGAGGAATGGTAGTGGGTTTCATCGAAAGGTGAAGGTTGGGGGAGAGACGATAGAAAAAAGATACATGAGGGAGTAAGAATGGGCACAACAGTCCATCGGCGGTTTGGACTCAGGAATCCTGATAAAGTCGATGTTCATCGCTGTGACGGCTAGTGCGCGATGACTGCATAATCTGTGTGGCGGTGGGATAGGAATGGTGTAGTTAACAACGAATGAATCAATATGGGAGGATAACAATATGCTATCGATGTAAACAAGTAAAACAGTGAAGACAGAGTAAACAGTCACCAACGGCACACTGACAGTAACTCACTGTGCTTAAAATACGATCGCGGAGGAGCGAAAAGGTGTGGGAAGAGACCAGAACGCCATATGGGGAGGAGCGGAAGGAATCGTGACGATACAGCTTAAAAGGCCGTATGACCCTAGGAAGGACAAAGAACATAGTGCTTGCATCCTGGATTATCACCGAATAGGACACCAACTGTGGGGTTGAACCAAGATCCTTTGGGATCCCCACCCATAACATGAACACAGCGTATGACAGATAAACTAGGGTGTCCAGTTAGGAAGTAACATTCTCATCATTGAGAGCTGTCATGTTCTGCAAAAGTTCGAGTTACATGCAGAGATGCTTACTTGTGGCCAAAACTGGAGGGTGTGATCTCACAACAGGATCTGCGAATCTGTATGCAGGATTTAGTTTGCATGCCGTATCCACCTGGCTGGACCCACATGAGTCTTGTGGGGCACTTTGCCGCGCTGGTAAAGGATGAGTCCTGGGATACACGTAGGGTGCCTGCCGCTGTAGTCACGAACCAACACCCTCTGGCCTTCACTGAAGGAGCGCGCAGTTGCTCCATGAAGCCGGTTGAACCGTTCCTCCATTCTGGCGTTGCGGTGACTAGCCAGCCTGTTCTGTGGCCGGATAGTATCATGCGGTGTTCGGGGCAGTGACGCTGCTGGTGACACTCTACCAGGCGACTTAAAATTTGGAGTTGCTCGACATGCTGGCAAGAACCTTTGCAAAATCTCTTACGTTGGTCCGTCTCCTGTGGACTTTTGAAGCGCACACTTCAGGGTGTCAACGAAGTGCTTCTCTTGGCTGTCCGACTGTGGATAAAACGGAGGCGGGCGGACGTGCGTTATGCCATGCTCCCGAAAAAAGTTGGCGAGCACCGACGACGTGAACTTACTGCCGTCGTCGGATGCAATAGTCTCTGGCGTTTCGAAGTGGCTGAACAGTCGCTGGGGTTTCGGGAATATAGTGGCATTTTCTCATTGTTTCAGAGAAAGGTTTGAGGTTTTGGTCATGCTCACTTTGGGCAGTCCCACAAATAGGGATGTTGTGGATATGAGCGAATGTGCCCCTTAGGTTCTCAGTCTTATTTATATAGTCAATAGTACGTTCGCAGAACGCTACTCCGTTGTAAACACTGAAAAGAGAACGACGGAACTGAAGCAAGGCTCCATACGCTTCAAAAGCGGTATACGGTTTGTCCTTCTCACTGGTTGGAACTTGATGGTGTGCATTCCCGCCATGCTAACGACAGCATGGCAGGAAATTTCTTCAATCGTTTTATGCAGTCGCGGTAACGGTTACGCGTTTAGGTAGGTAAACCGATTAGTGGTTAGACTGTAGTCCACTACCATGCGTCTTTTGTGTTTGAATTTTTCGTGCCCAGTACTTGAGCCCTCCAGGGAGAATTCGAAGGTTCAATTATATCTTTATCCATTAGTCGATTCAGAGCGGATAAACTATTCATTGCCAGTGCTATAGCGCCGCGATTTCGTGGCAATAGGCTTGCAATTAGTTGAGAGGTTAGTAAAAAGAGGAGGGGATTCAACCGTAACAGCAGTTAGACCGCAGAGCGTGAATGGACCTCGGTTCCCACCAAATGTGATTTCAACTTTTTTTTATGTAGACCAAGGAAGTCTTGGCCTAGCAGTACATCAGCACATAAATTGGGCAACACCAGTAATTTGATTTTTTGTAAACAGTACCCCTGTGATCAGTGGATGCCTAGAGTAGCCGTTAGTTGAAGACGGTAGAGAGGTAGGTGCCATGGTAACCACAGAATCGTTAGCATATATCTTCCAGTCATGTGTACGAACTACCAAAGGAGATATATAACTGCTCGAACTTCCTGTGTCCATGAAGGCCTGAAGTGATGTTCCGTTTACCTTTGTGCTGTTCACCGTGCGGGACAAGCAGTTCGGGGCTGTAGCAGTCAACAGGGAAGATAAGGCAGAATCCGTCGTGCAATTTGGGTGATTTTTTGCAAATTTGGATTGACAAACGCTGAAAATGGTCTGTTCTGCCACATAATTTACAAACTGCTTCACTTTCGGGGTATTTGAATCGTGGATGCCTGGAACGATCGCAAAAATAACGTATCTGTGAATTGATTGACGAGAGATAAGGTGTGGAATCAGAGGAGGTTGATTGTGAAGGAGTAACCGTAGATATCTCTAAAGGCGGTGTAGCCCTAGAAAATGATATTGGTTGCTTATGTGAGCATGACTAAGCTTGTTTGTGGGCCGATTCTTAGGACCTAGCCGATTCATTTGCTTAATCGTGAGTGAGTTCATTTTGAACCAGAAGTCTTTCTCTGATGGTAGCAGACTGGAGTCCGTTGATCAGAGCATCACGTACGCTTTCGTTTTGGTAGCCAATCCCGGACACCACCTTGGAATCACAATTTTAGGCCAAAGATATAAACCTCTGAACAAACCGATCGACATCTCGACTGGTGTCTTGTTTGCAAGCTTATAGAAGATGATGAACGTAAATTATATTCCTAGGACGAACGTACAAAATTTGAAGTGTACTGATAGCGTATTCGTGCTTGGGACAGTCACCGAACTTATACAGATGCTTCCACAAAATGGATCGAGGTTTTGAGTTTTTTTTAGGTAAGGCGGTTCGACAGTGCCCAAAAACGTTTGAAATGTTCGGAACCAATGATTCCAACGCAGTGTGACGCCTGGAGGATTTGGATCTGTGTCCAAATACTTGGGTCGCAGCAACGGTTCCTTTACGTTCTTAGACAAATGAATTCTTATAGACGGATTATCGATTCTGATTGAGCACGAGAACAAAACCGAATAGCGTAGAATGAATAGCGCTTTACTTGTCTAAGAACAGACATACATAAGCGGAATGTGAAGGCGAAGGCATGGTTAATAAGAAAAAATCTGAACATAGAGGATAGTCATGGCAGTCTCTGAAATATTACAGAAAGGTAGAATTCTTTTAAGATCTAACCATCCTTACGGTATATGTCAGTGCATTGAAAACCCACTGTGCGGGCAAGAGTAGTTGGTCCCCTTGCTTGCTTCAAGGTTTGAACACAAAGGACAGCTTAATTGACCGGCTTTTCGGGGTTTGGAAATTGATTTCGGGGTTTTCAGGGCCGTAAACGGAGACGGATTTGGAGAGGTTGATGCTGAGGGTGAAATTTAGCGTGGGCACTGACCTTGAAGCCTGGTGGACACGAAAAGCTAAGGAGATGGATGAGTTTTGTTTAGTGCAACAGAGATTTTACTCGAGAAATGTGTCTGTCGCCAGAAAGTGTGGTTAGATCGTTTATTGCATCCACTATCGAAGAGAGTGCTGTTTTCTAGTGCCAAAGCGTAGTTGCTGCCAACTTCCAACCTGGTTTACTGTTATAAAAGTAATTACGATAAGTCTGGGTGCTATCGATTCGGCTCTTTTTCCGGGATGAGATACTTTCTATTCTGCGTGGTTGGAGACACCGCAAAATGTAGCCGCTTATCAATGTCATTGGCGGTGTTGTTATCAGCTTCTTCCCTGTGTGTCTGAATGAGTGTCTGGAGGTGTGGACAATAAGTCCCTTTTGCCTTGGTTTTCATTCTTTTCCTTACAAATTCACAGTTGTACGGCAGCGAATCATCAGTGTTGAGGACTGATATTGTGTTATCGATTATGATGATGATGTTGTTGTTGTTG